TCAGAATCCATCTTTAAACTCCGACACGTTTTGAACCAGATCCGTTTCATTAAACCCCATAAAGGAGAAACAGACTCGTTCTGTTTTAAAATGAACCCGTCGACCCGATTAAAGACCAGAACCGACAAAGAAAACAAACTTGAACGTCGTCCAACAATGTGCAGCGTCGACACGTGACAGCAGAACGTTCTGACTGGACTGAAGAGGAACCAGAACACGTTCTAACAGACGTTCCTGCTGCTGACGGCTCTGCTCAGGTTCTGGCTCAGTGTTCCTCAACCGGACCAGCTCACAGGATTCTTCAGGTTCAGATCCAACATCCAATTCTGATTTTTTTTATTCCTTATAAATAAATAAATAAATAAATAAACAAAACACTGAACAATAGATTATAAAAACAGTTGGAGAAAAAATTCAGTAAAAATAATAAGAAAAAAATGGTGAAAAATCTGGCATCAACATTTAAAAAAACACACAAAAAAAGAAGAAAATAAAGTTAAATTAAATAAAACAAATAAAATAAATGTAATAAAAAACTTAAAATAAAAGCAAATGTCTTTAATGGCATTTTTTGACTGATTTAAATACAATAAAATTATTATTTTTTAAATTAATTTAGGAAAATAATTAAACTTTTTTGAGGTAAAAGCTGTGAAAGGAACATTTGCACAAAAAAAGGAGTTTTAAGACGGCGTTGTTTACAGTTTGGCCTGTTTTTTTGTTTTGTTTTGTTGTTTTTTTGTTGTTTTTCACACTCACCGTGTGAATAAATCCTCTTTCATGTGTTTTATTAGTTATTGATGTAATTGAATAAAACTGAGCTCATCTGTGAAACACCTTCAGTTAAAAACCGTCTATAAAAGTTCTTTAATTCATCGTATTGATGCAGCAGTTTGATCAGAACTGAACCCAGCAGCAGCCTGAACCTGAGACACGACGACAGAACCTGTGAGACGGGCGGATCAGAACCAGGAAGCAGCTTCACTTCAGCCTCTAAACATTCACTCGTGTAAACTTTCCCAAATGTGGCCGCGAAGCTGCTCGACGTCCAAACATCCTGAACTCTGTCTGACTGTAACCAGAACCAGGAAACACAAACAGAACCTCCTCCACGACCCGCTGTTGTTTCAAAAGGACAGAATCTGTTCACACATGAGGATTCACAGAAAACTGAGTCCAACTCTTAAAATCATTCGTGTTTATTTTTATCTGGTTTTTAGTGACAAAAGCTCCAAAGTTGATTCTAAAAGTGAGTTTCAGCTCAAACACATAAATAATAAGACAACAGACAACAACAGATAAGAACAGATAACAACAGATGATAATAGATGATAATATTTAAAGCAGCTGAAATGTGGAAAAAGCGTCCGGCAGGTAAACAGGAAGTAGATGAACAAGACAAGAGGAAACATAAAAAACTAAAAATACAAACCTGAAGAGACGAAGAGAGAAAAACACGATGACGTGACAAAGAAGAAAAGAAGATTTCAGACTTTAGACTCAGAGAACTGATGAAACTAACGACAGCTTTAAAACAGGCGGGAAACAGGCGACACATGAGGAGAGAGCTTTTCAAAATAAAACAGGAAGTAAACTAAACACAAAGGTCGTGACCTTAAATGGAACCTAAACAAATGAGTAAACAAACGTGTTTTTATGAATTAAAGAACTGACAATAACATAAACCTCCTTCCAGCTTCCTCACATTATAAATCAAACACTTTGTGGGTTTCAGAACCTTCAGATAAAAAAAAAAAAAAGTAAATAGTGTTTGTTTGGCGCTGGTTCTGATTATCTAACAGATGGACTCGCTCCAGTCGGCCGGCACAGATTCTGTCCTCGTTGCTGTTCTTTAAACAAAGACGTCGTTCATTCTGCTCAGGAACAAACTTCTGTATTAAATCTGCTTTAAATGCTTTAAAAGGATCAGAACGGGTTCATTTAAACATTCAGAGAACGAGAAATACAGAAGAACTGCATGAATACATCAGAAAACAATGATTATTAAACCATGATTTTATAGTTCTTTAAATAACCGACTGATTATCACTTATTTTTATTTTATTTTAACAAATTTTTTAATTTTATTCTTTTAATTGATTCTTTTATTTTATTTTGTTATATTTATTTTTTATTTTTATTTTATTTTGTTGAAACTGGATGCTGTTTATGTGACAAATGAAGCTGATCTTGATCTAACTGGTATCTGGCAGATTTTCCCAGTTTGTTCAACTATAAGAACTTTTAAAATCTCACAAAAAATGCATAAATTTACAGCATTTGAAAAAAAAAAGTGATTATACTTAAAAAATAGTAATTTGTTCATTTGAAAAGTGTTTAATTTTATTAA